TGTATGATTTTTATTTCTTTCTGATTTTTAAAGCTGCTACTAGAAAATATTGCTTGAAGTTCTAGTTTTCAAATTCAGTTCAAGGTTGTTTTATTCACATCAGATGATCTACAGTCTTACTGAGGATCAGACCTCTATTGTGGATCATATCTGTCAGACACCATCACTACATTTAAGATTAGACTTAAAATATCCCTCTTAGATAAAGTGGCTCTCTCTCTCCCTCCTTCTCTCTATCTATTCCTCTCTCTCTTTCTCCCTCCGAGAAGTTTCTTTCTTCCCTCCCTCCCTCCTAGAGGTTTCTTCCAGTCTTCCAGTTTTTCTAGACAGTCGTGAAAGACCTTGCTCATTGTGGTAACTGATGGGTTTTGCTATATTTTTTAAGATCTTGACCTTCTCTATACAGTGCCTTGACATTATGTCAGGGCACTGAATTTGAATTAAAATTGAATTATCTGAGTCTTTTAATAATCAGAATGTTTATGGAATTTAGCCCTAAAGAATCAGTGCTTCATGAGAGGTTTCTCTCCAAAGCCTGAGATACTGATATTCAATGATGACAACTCTATCTGTGCAGTATGAATGAGCATTTAGTTGAACAATTGTCTGACTTGCTTCCACAGTTCTGGTTTACATGAACTAAACTGTATAACTAGCTGTCATAACTGCACAGAAGAAAAGACGCACTCACATCATCCATTCTCCATAGGTCATTGCTCAAACCTTCAGTCTGACCATAAGTGATTGCATTCTTTAGGAAATCAGTGCCACTGCCATCATGCTGAAAATCAGAAAATAACACTAATCATTTCAAAATACGTGGCAGTGCTGGCCTTGAAAAAAAAAAAAACTGAGGACAGTTATCTTTAGAGTCTTGATGACAACAGTACTTACACTGTCAGTGTCTTGCAAAACTCCAACAAGCAATCGAATGTATTCAGTTGCAGCTTTGAGTGTGTCCACTTTACTGGGTTTCCGGTCTGGTCGCATTAGTGGCACCATACGCTTCAAGCGTGAGAACATAGTGTTCAAGTTCCGGATCTGCAAAGAAGAGAGGCATCAATAGTGAAGCAGATTTGTTCATTGTGAGATTATTTCTAATGTTCTCGAACCATGAGTATCATTGCATTTCCACAGGGCTTGAAGTCACATCTCTCAAGATTTGATTATTCACTGAGAACAACCTCAGCAGTATTTGGTCAAATCCAGCACATAATGCTTGAGGAATGAAAAAAGTAAAACCAGAAAATCAGATTAAGAGATATAGACACCTACAAGTGCATCATATGAGAACACAAGAGTTATCCATTGATCTATTTTCCAAGTTTAACTTACTTTGTAAAAATCTAGTGTGCTTTTTACTGCTTTATGCCAAACTGCATTTGAAATGTTGTTTAAGAGACTTACTGACAAACACAGGAAATTAAACACAAGATAAGTTCTGTGTCTTTACCTCATATGACAGAAGAATGTATGATATTCAGTCATCTGGAGACCATGGTGATTAAAATATGAAAATAAAGAAATAAATCACAACTTAACCAAAAGTCTGTGTTAAAATCAAATCTAAAAAGATTGCCCACATCACCTCTGTTCTTAAATCTGTACACTGGCTGGCAGTAAGACACAGGATTCATATTAGGTATTAAGTTTTACATACATAACACACATGATAAATTACAATACAACCCTGCAAGACCTCTCAGATCAGTGGGGAGGTGTCTGCTAGTGGTACCAAGGGTGACATCCAAACAGGTCAAACCATCACTGTATTTTATTCCATTTTATTTCATTATTTTGCACACCTCTATTTACTTATTTTGTATTATTTTCAACTTATTTTTATCACACTCTTTAAAACTCTCATTATACTTGAAAATTGTCTTAAGCTGTGCTTTTTGATCTTAAGTTCTTTCAATTTTGTCTCAGTGTTGTTTTTAATGTGCCTGCACAGCACCTGGAATCTACTTGAAATGCGCTTCATAAATAAAACTGCCTTGCTTGCCTTATTATAATGTTTAATTTTACATTGGCATACAATAGTCCTCACAAGATAAAAACATTTGCACAATTGTCTAATAACTGGGTGATAGATCACATGGTCTTAACCCTTTCACCATTGATACATAGGGAGTCATCTGCAGCTTCAGATGATCACATCATGAGGTGTGACATTAGGATTGTACAGTAGTTACCATAGACTGTATATAAAGGTAGTTACCAATACTGCAGGACCTGTGAATGGACGGAAGATGGTTTTATAGAGATTAGATAATAACCAAGATATACTGGGACAGTATGGGGGGGCAAGGCTGCAGTGAATCCCTCAGTATGTGTGTAAGTCGCTGGAGTTTGTTTCGTGTGTGCACAAGGTAAATAATAACTGTGTCCTGTGAAGTCTTTGGAAACTTAATAGCAGGCACGGTTTGTTAGCTAAATGGGCTACAGCTAAGCTAGCTGCACTGTCTGACAGAGCGGGACCTGGAGTCTGTCTGTCAAACACGTCGCTAAACTGTCATTAAACACCGACTCTCTGTGCTCGCACTTTCCTCCACTGTAAACTCACTCTCAGCCGCTCCTTGGCGTTGACCAGCTCCCTCTTTTTCACCGTTTCGTTGAAGTCCTCAGCGACGAAGTACAGGCCGTCTTTAGCTCGTCTGAACTTCTCTATGTTGCTGTACACAGGCAGCGCGGACTCGCCCGTCAGACGCTTCAATATGTCGCCCATTAGTTCCTCCGCTGGCACCTTCATTTTGAGCAGGAACATGTATGAACCCTGAGGATGAACCCTGAGCTTGAACCCTGAGTTTGGACCGTGAGGAGGTGCTGCCTCTCACAGACTGTCTCCGCTCACCTCTCACACGTAAACAGCAGAGGCATGAGGCTGAGCACACCTGAGACAGGTGCTTCATCAGGAGCCCGCTACCTGCCCGCAGTGAGCTGATGCTAACATGAGCTACATTTGACTAGCCTTCATTCACTTAACACAGATCTGCTTCTTCATTTGGACTAGTTGTTTTTAAATTGTGACTAGTAAGAATTTGTGTTTAATATGTCTAGGACTTCATTGTGACTAGT